AAACTACACTGACAAAGACTCTTTCCTTGACCAAACTCTAGCCAGACTGCTCTGAGCCCTCTTCTCAAGCCTGGCTCATCATATACAAACTCGAACAAACATTAACATAGTTTCTAACAGCACCAGGTTCCAGCCTTGTGACAACACCAGTCCCCCTTCGTGCCTGCCTGAGGAAACTCAAGGCATCTACTGTTTGTTCAATCAACACTGAAAAGTCAGGCCCTTGTCTCCCAGTGAGCAAATACAGGTGGTTTCATATGGACCAATACCTATTCTACATTCTGTCATCTGTTCCTCCTCTGACTTTACTCATCCCTGGCCTTCCTTCTTCATTCTCTCTTTAAAATGCCCTCTGGACAAACCGAGGTGGAGTTTCATTCATGCAGGACTCTTCCTGGTTGCTCAAGTTATTACTGATTAAAATCCCTCCTCTCCACTTTAACCAGCATCAGGCTTTCTTTGGTAAGTGCACACAACATGGATAAATCTCAAAGAACGCACTGGGTGAAAGAAAACAAAGGAATCACATACGGCAAGATTCCATTCACACGTTGTTCAAGACCCAGCAAATCTAACCTACCATAGATCCTGAAATCAGAAAATGACCAGCAGCGCTAAGGAGACTAACTACAAATTGATACAAGTGATGAAGTTCTAGAACCTAGGTGAGGTTCGGTGGGCTGAGGTCCAGAGCCGATGACCAAGAAAGAATTCTTGAGACATCTTAGGTGGAAAATGGTGGTTTATTAAAGCACGAGGACAGGATCCGTGGGCAGGAAGAGCTGCTGCTCCGGGTTGCGAGGGATGGCAGGTTAAGTACCCTGCGGTTGGGGGAAGGGGAGGGGAAGGGAGGTTTCAACGGAGCTTTCATATGCTAAAGAGGGCCTACAAGGTGCCAGAATATCCGGAGGCCTATCGGAGGCCTAGCCCTTGCCTAGCCAAGGCGGCTTGATCAATGTTGTCTTTAGACCAGCCATTAACATCAAGATAGTTAGGAGATTCCTGGTGGGATGTCACAATCCTGCTATCAAGCATCTTTGTTAGTGAGATTTAGGTTTAGAAGAGATTTAACTATATTTACATTCCCTTCTACCTCAGCCTCCTCCAGTTTTGTTTATGGTGGGGAGGGAGACTTTAGGGCTTGAGGAACTGAGTTATTTGCCTCTGGAAATTTGTGCTATTGATAAGGTAACTTCTTTGTAGATCTCTAGGACATTGGTAAACCAAGGGTGACTCCTGTCTTGCAGGATTGTGATCTCTGCAACTTAACTATTTTGTTTCTTGCTTAAGGCAGTCAGGGGTGCCTGAAGAATGTCACACACACTACCGAGGGGAGCGGGTGGAGAGGGGGTGCAAGGTGCCAGCGTTTGCTTTGTCCTCAGCCAGCCTCCTGCTCCCTCATCAAAAGGGTAACTTCTGGAGCTTCAGATACACTTTGTGTCTTGTGTTTGGGGCTGGGACGCAGATACACAGTTGACCCTTCAACAACACAGTGGTTAGGGGTACCCATTCCCATGCAGTCAAAAATCTGCATGTAAATTCCATCTCCCCCAAAATTTCACTACTACTTGCCTACTGCTGAGCAGAAGCACTACTGGTAATAGAAACAGTTGATTAAAGGTATTTTGTATGGCATATGTATTATACGTTTTATTCTTTCACTAAGTATGCTAAAGAAAATATTCAGAAAATCATGAAGAAGATACATTTGCATTACTGTGCTATATTTATTTTAAAAATCCGCATATAAGTAGACTCATGCAATTCAAACCCATGTTGTTCAAGAGCCAACTGGGTATATTTCTTAATGCTCATCAAACTCAACACTGAAGACTGAGTATTTTCTTTTACACATTATCTCCTCTCCCCTGCTCTCCCACCTCCAGTCTCTTTCTTCCCCTCCCCTTCTGTCTCTTAGGAATACCTGGGGAAATCCTTGTTTTCTTTCTTTCTTTGTTTTTTAAGAAGGCTCTGTGCCCAGCATGGAACACCAGATGGGGCTTGAACTCACAACCCTGGGATTGAGACCTAAGCTGAGATCAAGACTCACACATACAACCCCAGGAAGCTACCCAGGCACGGCTACCTGGGGGGAAATTCTAAAAGAAAAATAAATAAATAAATAAATAAATAAAAGCGATGAGAGATGTGGCTGACCCTCCAAGTTCCCCTTTCCACATTCACCTGCCTGTACTTCCTTAGTAAAAGGGCCCCAATTCTGTTCAAGGTATCAATCTGCCCTGTGAGAAATTGTTCCCTCCCACAGGCTCCTGCAGCTAGGGGGTAGGGCCACATGCCTAGTTTTGGCCAATAACACATATGTTGAAGTCTACACAGTACGGCCTTCTGAAAAGCTATTGCTCTCACAGACTTAGACATGTGCCTTTTGTCAGTGTTTCCTTCTCTTCCTTCCTGGAGTCCAGCTGCTCAAATGAACTAGGAAAGTGGTGCTATTCCCTGCCACAAACCTATTCTTAGTCTGAGAAGCAAGCTTTGGGATCTCTCAATCAATTCACAACTAAGTTACATTGGAAGTCAAAACGTGTAGGCATCAAAATGAAAAAAGCAAGTCCAAATGGAAGTGAGGAAGGATAGACACATGGCTGTGTTAAAGCATATGTAACAATTTGGTATCTAAGTGATGTTTCAAATCCATGGGGGATATAGACCAGCACTAGATACTGTAGGGACAAAAACGGCAACTTGATCTCATACAAGATAATAAGGATAGGGACGCCTGGGTGGCTCAGTGGGTTAAGCTGCTGCCTTCCGCTTGGGTCGTGATCCCAGGGTCCTGAGATCGAGTCCCTCGTGGGCTCCTTGCTTGGCGGGGAGACTGCTTCTCTCTCTGACTCTGCCTGCCTCTCTGCCTGCTTGAGTGCTCTCTCTTGCCTTCTCTCTGGCAAATAAATAAATAAAATATTTTTTAAAAATAAAAAATAAAAAAATAATAAGCAGGAGAGATAAAATGGTCTAAGCGATAGAAGCCAAAACCATAAAAGTGCTCAAAGAAAATATAATACTGGCTGAAAAAGGTCCTTTAAAGCGTCATCTAAAAGCCACAAGCCATGAAGTCAGACTGTCAGATTTGGCACCATAAAGATTCAGAATGAAATGTATCATGAAATGTTCGGTGCAAGCGAAACTCAAAGATGACCAAGAGTTTGGGTCAAAACCGCACCAGGAACAGAGGCAGAGGAGCACCATCCTACATATACAAAGTTTCTAAAAGTCAGCATAAAGGGGCACCTGGTGACTCGGCCCTTGGCTCACGTCATGATCCAAGGGTCCTGGGATCCAGCCTTGCTTCAGGCTCCCTGCTCTGGCAGGAGCTTGTTTCTCCCTCTCCCTCTGCCTGTCACTCTGTCTACTAGTCCTTTCTCTCTGTCTCTCCCCTTGCTTGTGTTGCACGCTCTCTGTCAAATAAATAAATATCTTAACAAGAAAGAAGCTCAAAAATTAAAAAAACAAGTCAATTATAAAAACATACATAACCAAAGAGACAACCCAGTGGGGAAATGCTAAGGAGACAGGGTTCATATAAAAAAAATTTCAGTGTTGGGGCGCCTGGGTGGCTGAGAGGGTTAAAGCCTCTGTCTTCAGCTCAGGTCATGATCTCAGGGTCCTGGGATCGAGCCCTGCATCAGGCTCTCTGCTCAACAGGGAGCCTGTTCCCACTCTTTCTCTGCCCGCCTCTCTGCCTACTTGTGGTCTCTATCTACAAATAAATAAATAAATAAATAAACAAGCAAATTAAAAAATATATATTGATGACTGTGACCAACTAAAAATACTTAGTCTTACTACTGATTATAAAAATACAGGGCGCCTGGGTGGCTCAGTCGTTAAGCCTCTGCCTTTGGCTCAGGTCATGATCCCAGGGTCCTGGGATCCAGCCCCCACACCCCACACCCCCACCCCGTCAGGCTCATGGGATGGGAACTCCAAGCTCAGCATAGTGATGAGAGAGTCGAGGGAGCATCTAAAGGACAGAGAAATCCAAGGAGGTCCTCGGGAAGAGCACACAGATAGCAGAGCAGAAATAACAAATGGAACACACTGGAAAGAAGAGATCAGGGCTGAAAGGAGCCGCACTGCTCACGTGCGAGGTGGTGCAGCACCAGGGTGGAAATCCAGGGCACCATGCTGGGAGTGGTGGCAGAAGTGCTCACGCCAAAGTAGGTGTTTGAGAAAATGAGTTTGAGAAAATGAGTGCCCTGTGAGGAAGCTGGGTCCTCCATGTGCACAGTGAGGCCACCCAGGCCTATGGCAAGAATCGAGACAGAGAAGAAGGCTCTGGCCTGGAACCTAAGTCTTCAACGAATTAGGTGAATAACAAAGGGGAAGGGAGAAAATAGTAACGAGAAGGAGGCCAGCGTGCTCTACCTGGGGACCAAGGATCATAAAGAAATGGCATGGGGGCAAAGAAGAGGGAGGACACCAATCTTGAACCCCCCAAACCTGAATAATGCGGGGTATGAGAACATAGACAGCACCTCAGGGGGTCTTAGAGGAATTTTCCTTCGTATACTTTGTCTTTTCTAAGTTTACTAAAATGATTATAGAGATGAAGTCATTTCATGTGGGAAGTAAACGAAAATGAGACTCTGGGCAGATACGGAAAATAGTAATGCTAAAATCTAGGAAAGGGTATGGATGGGGCGGTCCTACAATTTTTCAAGAAATTCCAAAGCATTTTGGAGCCAGAAAGAAGCACCTGAAGCTTTAATAAGACAGTTAACAGGGAAAAGAAAATACAGTGTTTTTTTCCATTCTAAAAAAACGAACATGTACGGTTAGGTATTTCTTCAGGCTCTACAAATCACAAATAAATAGAGATTGAAGAGTAGCTGGGAAGTAATAAGTTAGCTAAATCCTCCCACTCCCATGAAGTTATTTTTTCACTCAACACCTTCTGTTGCTTGGGCACACCGGAATACAAGACACTTTTCTTGAGAGAAAGGTGTGTCACCTGTCTTTTTTGTGTTTAGAGGTTTTAGCCCCTGAAAGTTGCTCCCAAAGTGAAAGCCACGGCCGCCCCCGCAGGAGCGCCATCACAGCCTCAGGACCTTGAGGTCAGTCCCACTGAGTTGCTCGCTGGAACCCATATATGGCCTTTCTGTCTTTGGTAATATAAAAGCGTTGATCACGTCTCACTTTATTTTAAATACAGTTTACCAAATTACCAAACGGCTTAGTGATTGCTTCTCTGGAAAACTATGCTCCTGCCTCAAGAGCCGGTTTGTTCCTTAAAGCTGGCAGCAGATCTGAGGACTCCAACAACTTAGGAACCTCTCATCTGCTTCGTCTTGCGTCCAGTTTGGTAAGCATCTTTACTGTCTCATTCAGTTCCGGAATGCTATGGTATCTCGGTCCCACAGAAAAGAAAAGCTGTTGTGTGTTTTGTTTTATAATACTGAAACTAAAAAAGATCTGCTGTGCAGATAAAGTTCTTTTTGAATCTAATGAGAGTTAGATGTTAGATTGTGACGTAGTGTGAGGTTTGCCAACTTGGCATTAAGAAATTCCTAAAAATACAATTGTTCTCTCCTTTTCCAGACTACTAAAGGAGCTTCATCTTTCAAGATAACCCGTGGAATCGAAGCAGTTGGTGCTAAATTAAGGATTGTTAACAATAAGTAACAGTAAATGAATAGTGAAAACACCGGGAAATATTCGATTATAAGGGAACTTTTCTGTCTTCTCAAGGCAATTAAGGATTTGTTAAACAGACACAAGAAGAAGGCTACTGGGGGCGCCTGGATGGCTCAGTGGGTTGAAGCCTCTGCCTTCGGCTCAGGTCATGATCCCAGGGTCCTGGGATCGAGCCCCACATCTTTCTGTCTTCGCACTTAATCCTTTCCTGGTTTAAAAGGACTGCAGTAACTCCAAGTGCCAGAACATCAAACGAAATTGAACAATTTCATCAAAAATGGAAGATTAGAGAGAGAGATCAAAAGGGCACATATCCATCTGAACTCTGGAACTTCCTACCTCTATACTTTTTGTTCTGCGTGGCATCTCTGGTTTGCTCATAAAAGCAGAATTCTGGGGGCAGAGGGCTAATATGGCCCTTGTCGGGTGGTGCGATATCAGAGAACACGTGTGGGAGACAGGGAGGAGGAAGAGCCCCTATGAGAAAGCATTATCAAGTTGGCTGCCATGCAGTGTGACTGTCCCCTAAGAAGCCCTGTCAACTGCATGTCAGGCCAGTGCCACTAGAGGGCTGGCGTGGGGGGATGCTTTCCCCACCAGCTCTTGTCTTCCAGTCACAGGTTCGCCTGCGGTGTGTTGATTGCCTCGGACTTCTGGTTTTGCATGCCAGGGTACCAGCTCAAGTCCCACAGCGCCCAACAGCTTGGCACTAACTAACAGGGAAGCCTTGGGGAGATGAGAAATGTGGGGTCCAGGTGAAGGGGTGAGTTGAGGCGCAGTCCAAGGGCACCTGCTTCTCATGGCATCTCAGGGGTGGGTAGGAGTGGGGTGACGCGGTGTCTCATGTGGTCCGGCCCTTGCATCAACAAGAGCTCCCCGTTGACCTCTGCTTTTGCAAACAAGACGTCCTTCTTCTTCCCGGAGAGAAAATGGGCAAGTCTGATGAGTCACAGGGTCCGCATCCAGCTGGGAGCCAGCTAAATTCTCAGACAAGTCTCAAGGCAGGAGGGTTTGTAAAACTATGATCCCTGCTCTTGCAGCTGGTGCGGAGCTGCTCGCTCCTACGCCTCCCCTTCGCCCTCCGCTACCCTGCGAGGTTCCTCTGAGCCCTTGCCCTTGCTGGACCGTGCTTCCTGGAACTCCAGTCTTCTGTTCACGTGGGCCGTGGGGGCAGCACAGGATGCCTCGGTGACTTCTCCCTGCCCCCATTCTGTGTTTGCACCCCGAGTGCCTCAGGTACTCAGAATCTGGGAAGCTCACTTGCACTCGTCCCTTGTTTCTTTGGCTCCTTGCCCACTGGCATGAGGAATCCAACGCCCTGAGACGATGAGAGTGGCACCTAGGAGGCGTTGAATTCAATAGGACATAGCCTGTTGTTTAAGGGACTTGGAGGTGGAGTGTCCGCAGCGGTGACCGGGAAAGGCCGAGAATGCCTCCCCC